CCTATAAAATATCATAACGTTCTTTTAAAATCGTAATACTCATCTTGTAACGCTCCTCTTCGATCGCCTCGACCAGTTCCAAATCGAAAAAACCGCCTCTATTATCCTTGAGGAACGTTACGCGGCATAACCATTTTTCTAGCGACAATTCGTCGCATTTGCCCCATCTCTGGACTCGACATTATAATCCGTCACAATATCACTATATTTCATGAACGACTAATCCGTTTTATACTATCTTAAAGAATTCGTTTAAGCATAGAATCATCGAAATTAGATCAGCCATTCTAGATTTATAGAATGTATGATATGAACAGATCTTTTTTAGAAGTGAATAACCCATTGTTAGTGCTTCGATTATTAATTAATAATTATATTTGTCTACTATTAGACATTGAAGAGATAGCAAAAGATATATTACTCATTTTTTTCAATTTAATCATCGCAAAAAAATATATATATACTGCTAGTAACATAGTTAGTAGCATTGTTAGTAACACTGTTAGTAGGGGAATTATCCCATATCGATCTACGGTTTTTCGTGTTAAACCGTCATGTAATATTTGACATGTGTGGTGAAGCGTTATATGAACTGAACTTTGGATGTTCCATAAAATGACAAATTATATATTCAGTCAGTGCAATTCCGAAGACAATAATAAAAAAGACACATTTGGGTCGTCTGCTAGGAATACCAATGTTTAAAGGATAGTTTTAATTTTGAGAAAAATGCGATTAAATTTTATGTTACTCAAAATTCGCATAATTTATTTTTAGATGCGATTACTAATTGTGATTATTTATTGATCTATACGTAGTAGATAAAATATCAAAAAATAGTGATGTTAAAAAAAGGGTTATATCACACAATTCTATAAGTCAAATTTGATTGGATAATCTTTGATTGTCATCTATTTTTAGAATGTCTTTTTTCGAAGAACAATTTTTTTAAATCAAAAAATCTCAATAGTTTATTAAGTTAACATAGAATAAAAATTGAGTCCATATAAACAGGAATGAATACTTTCATTTGAATACAAAATCTCAAAAATTGGTCAGAAAATGCCAAACATCAGCAAACGACCCATTTTGGTTTCACTCCCGGGTCCCAATCGCAAGGTCTCCAGTTCGAATTAAAATTAAATCCGAGCAATGAATAAATTGTACACTGTAAAAGTGGAAATTACCCCGAAATTACTGCGGCTCCAATGTAGTACAAATTCTGAAAATTCTAGAAAACCGAAAATCCCGAATATTCCCCAGATAATGGATAGTTAGAATCTTTAGTAATTTCGTTATTCTCTAATTTCATTACTATGCAAAAATAAGTATATAAGCGAAGCCATTTCGCACTGAATAAAGGACAGTTCTTAGCTCATACGTAGACTCAACCTTGGCAAGTGTTTAGCTTTACTAATTCCCCTCCTCCCCCGATAAGTAAAATCTATACTCAATAGGGATTAGTAGGGATGGGTCACTGCACAGCCTGCGCAGAATTTTTGAGAGACTGCATAGTATGATTTTAGAATTCATGCTATCTAGCATGATTCTGCCAGCTGGTATAATTCTAGTCAACTTGCATAATGCTGCAGGCTGCGCAGTGGATTTAAAACATTCTTTATTTGCCCATCCCTAACAAACCCTGTGACTTAGTCTAGTGCTCTAATTGACCCTAGTGACTCAGACCAAGTCTTTTCACGTCTCAACTGTAGCCTTACCGTATTATAGTTGAATTAGAGTATTTTTGTAGTGTGGAGTATTTGCACTTCTACAACGCCAACTGGCGTCTTACAGCGATCATTCCAAGGGGAATTTTTTTAAACAAGAAATTTTTAAATGATGTCCAATTAATTACGAGATTTTGCATACATGATCAGCGCATAATCACTAATCAGGATACAAAAGCAAATTTGTAGAAGTAGAAATCGATATATTAAGTTGGTTGAATTTTAAAATATAAGTACGTGTTGGTGGTACGTGAATAAAAAAAAAGAATATTTACTTTTTTTGTTACAATCATTGTACACAAATTAGGAAGCTAATATTTTTTTAATATTCAACGATAACTCAATAAGGGTAAAAGATAAGGGATACAAATTGTGAGTCGTATATCTCAATAGATAAATAGCATTATATGATGTATATTGTGAAGTTTAAGCTTAGAAACCTACGTTTACTGAGTTTAACCAATTATCCAATTAGTTATAAGACATTGCAGATGTACACCATTAAATGTCATAGTAACTATATTAACAATTTTGGAAATCTCGCTTTAGTAAAATCATGCCACATTATCATACTTTTACTCCTATTCACTTTAAATAACGAAGCAGTGTAGGGAAATCTTGAATTATCATCTCTATGAGATGCACAATTAGTTGCACTCAACCCGATAGTTTACCTGTACAAAGAGTCATATAAATAAATTCTAGCCTATTAAATCCAGGATATTGCACTGCCAATAAAATGTTAAAATCTATGTTCAGTTAGTGCAATTCTGAAAGACAATGATGATAACAATACAATTTTTTTATAAACAATTGACATGCGCTTAAATTGAGACAAAAACCTGTTAAAAGATAAAGATACCGTTAGTACATTCAGATGGTTAAAAAATTCTTATATTTAAGTGCTGAAATTCTCATTTTTACTGCATTTAACGCATTGTCCAATTAAGTATAAGATTTTGCAGACGTAATTATACACTTCGTAATATTTATATATCAATCCGTTCTTGGCATACAAGTAACGTATAAAAAATCTTCAATATAAGAAAAGGGGAATGATTTTTGTACATCCGTATTCGTGTAACATCACGTTCGGTCACATGTACATGATGTTACACGAAACGGGTGTAAAAATTTTTATAATAAAAGCCTTTGATATAAGAAAATCTCAGATATAAGATTTTTGTTGGACCCGTGACTTTCTAATATCAAGAGTCACTTGTATTCGGATCAGCATGAATAATATGAATACTCTCATATAGGTGTAGATGACACGGCACAGGAAATCCATCTTTCTATATAGAGGTACAATAACGCATAAAAAACCACCATCTTTCTATATAGAGGTACAATAATGCATAAAAAACCTCCATCCTTCTATATAGAGGTACAATAATGCATGACTGGTAACTCATTGAAAATAAATATTTTCTTAATTTTGACCTAAAGAAATCCACAGGTCTTAGCCTCTTTACATAGAAATGATATACCAAGAAATTCTTCTATGCATAATGCTAAAACCTAAATGAGAAGTCATTGAGAATGATGAATTTATCTCATTTCCCGGGAACTTAGATTAATTAGGCATTCTCAATAGCGGCTTATTTAGTATTCACATTAAAGATTATACGTAGATTTTCTGAATATACTTTATTTAGGTTAATAGAACTTTCAATTTTGAATGTGCTTATTTTAAATACTAAGAATATATGTACAAAGTTGAATCATTAGTTGATCTACATTTTTTATTATTATAGTTTTTCCCATTGTTCATTAAAAAAAATTAAAAATTCAATATAAATTGATACCAAATTAATTTGACAAAATAAACCTTAAACCTGAATATTTCCGGATTATAGCTGTGTTTAAATTTTTTAGGAACATTCCCGGAATAATTTCTATATAAAATTTTGATAATGCACATAAACTTTCTATTCAGAACAAGATCGGAATGGTTTGCACCCATCTGGATCAAAAGCTGTATGTATTTGTCATTAATTTTTTATAGGGAAATTTATGAAATAGTTGTAAAACACCTAATATTGTTTAGTTATTTCGTGGCTTCATATGAAACATATATCAATGCGGAAACGTTTGCCGAATTTACAATATTTAAATAAATCCAGCTTTACCAACAAATATTTGTGACATATTTACGAAAATAGTATAGATAAGCGGAGTTCTGGACACCCTATACCGTACACATGACTATTTCATTCTTTCCCTTTTCGCACAAAAAATAATGTACGTATTGATTAGAGTGAATATATATAAGCACTTAATAGATTATATTAATAAGCTTATTGCTGTACTGGCATAATTCTGAAAAAAAATGACTTCTGAAATAATTTCTCAAATTGAAACCTTTTTTCTTAATGTAGAAAATTTAATCGAACTTAAACTAAAAAATCATATTCAGAATCAGTCCGAGATTGAAGAAAAGTTTAATGAAGGAAAATGTTTAATTGATAAATTGGAAGGAATCAGTGATGAACAATATGGTTTATTTAGGCATATGTATCATATAACTTATGCTAGCTATTTAAAAACAATCGGTGAAATAGACAATGCTAATTTACAAGAAAGGTTAGCAAAAAAATATGAAGAATATACGAAAAAATCTGAAAGAATTGATGCTTACGAAACAGAAACAGTTTTATTTGCGGATCTCTCCTCAAATACTAATGATCAAGATTTAAGTCTTGATGAAATCTCTATACAAAAAGCTGCAAATGAACAATTAGAAATCATTCAAAGCATCCTAGAGGATAAGTTCATAGAAACAATTAAAAGCCATTTCAAAATATTAACTAAGAATCCCAAAATATTTGAGGACTATCAAGAAATTATAAATTGTGAAGCCAACGTGCATAAGCTAGCCAACGGTATAATTGATGAGGCGTTAATACGTTTGGATGAGTTTCGAGTTTCAAAATCGCAAAATTCAACTATTAATATAGACGAAAAAAAATCCGAACAATTAATTAATGCTTTGAACCTTTTAAAATCATTAGCTAGTGAAGCAGCTTATTTAAAGAGAATATCCTTTATACTATATTCATTGAATTCTTCAGATAAAATAAAAATCTTATTTAGCAATGTTATATTTACAAACGAAGGAATTAATAAACGCGCTAAGGAACTCTATTTGCATTTCTATCCTGATAGAGCCAAATATCCTAATACTCCAAATTGGCTTCGAGACGAACATAAATGTTTAGGCGTTGAACTATTTAGATATATTATAGAATTTAAAGAGAATTTGTTGGCTGACTTGGAAAATGTCTCAAAAAACGAAGGTCGCTTGATCTTTCATGAAAAAAAGGCGAACGAACTTTGGAAAAGAGCGATTGATTACAGAAATGCAGCTAAAAATAAATGGGATAAATTAAGCGTATTTAAAAAAGAAGATATCGATGAATTTAACCCAAATGAGTTAAAGGATTTTAGCGTGGCCACTGGAATTTTGGCATATCAGGAATATAGAGCAGCTTGCCACATAGCAGATAAGATCAAGCAGCTACAAAAACAAGTAAAGTTAAGAGGATATATGGCATTATGCTTACATATCTCTAATAAACCGTTAGAATCACAATTATATGCTTTAACGGCAATTTATTTGCAGTTTCTGAATTCTTACAAGATCACATCACATGAACTGGATGATGCAAAAAGAATATTTGATACAGTTAAAAACGGCAATTCTAATGAAAATTCTCACAAGTTATATACTGAGGGTAAACTAAAGGGTAAATTAGATAATGCACTAGTAAAAAAAACAGATAATCATGAGATTTCCTATATTGAAGAGAAGAAAGAGCAAAATTCAATTAGAAATGATATAGCAAAAATATGCACTGAATTAATGCTCAAACCAGACCGCAGTCTAGTTCGTTATAAAGCATCTGAAGAAGAAATCTTGAAAGCCAAAAAGCATGCTTTCAAGCATAAAGCTGCAGGAACAATTACTTTATGTCTTACTAGTGTTTCTGTTTGCCAATATGCCGTTTCAATCGGAACTTACGCAGTAGTTAGTAATCCAGTTAATATACTACTAGTTGGCATAGCAATACATAGCGGCATAGCCATGTTGAATAAAGGTATAAAATTGTTAAAAGAGCCAGCAATTCGTGAAAAGCTCAACGAAATTATGGATACAGCTTTAAAAGCTTATGATGAAAGAGAATATCAAAATTTTTTCGTTGAACTTTCTAAAGAATATGAAAAAGGAATTAGTCTTATAAAATTAGAAAAAGATGATGATGTTATTATTCCTAAAGATATAATTAAAACACTTATAAGTCATGGTTTTAGATCGGATGGCATAGCTTATCTTTTAATTTTAATAGGAGAAGTTTTGAGTAGCGGAAATATTAGTGTTGAAGGTAGAGGTGGGTTTCATGCGTGCGCATGATTCCTCAATCATGCGCATGAATGCGCATTCATGCGCATGATTCCGAATC